GCAAGGATGGCTGACTGACTAGCACTCCTGGTGCATCAATCAGAGATGGCATAGTGGAGTTTTCTGCCAGCTTGCCCTACCCTCAAGTCCACGCTATGGTTTGGATGTGGGTTTATTTCTGGCAAAGCTCATGTTGAAGTTTAATCCCGATGTGCAATGTTGGGAGGTGGCTAATGTGAGTGGAGCTCTTATGAACAGATTATTACCCTGTTGAGAGAGTTGTGAGCTCCCTGGAAAGTGGTTTGCTGAAGAGCCTGGCTTCCTGGATCTCTCTCTCTGACTCCCTCTCTCACCACATGATCTCTGCACACATCCATTCCCCTTCCGCCCTCTGCCATGCACTGAAGCAGTGTGAGGCCCTTACCAGATGCAACTGCCCAATCTTAAACTTTGTACCATAGTCATAAACCAAATAAACCTCATTTCTATATAAATTACCTAACTTAGGGATATTCTGTTATAGCAACACAGAATGGACTAAGACACTCTTAATGCCCTGTGGTCCCATCCACTGCCCTAGGGTGCAGAGATGCTCCCTCAGCCAATTGGGAGGGCTCATCCTCACACCTGCATATAGTGGCAGGATTGTAGACAACAATCCTGCCTTTGGCTCCTGGGATGTCAGGAGGGTTTGGAAACCACTTGTGCTGCTGGGATAAGAGGGGTTTCTCAAGGCAGCTAGTTCACAGCCTCTGTCTCAGAGCCTCAAAGTTCTCATTGCAAAGAAGGAACACCATCCCCATGTTGCAATGTTTGAGGGTTACAGGAGTGTGAGGGTTCTTCAGGCAGAACTAGGTCCCCGATGACCCCAGTCCTGCCCTGTGGACTATCTGACACACATCCAACCAATTCTTCCCAGGTCCATAGGTGCTACAGAGCCCTGTGGAAGTAATCTTGCCTGTCTCCTCTCATCCTGCCACCCAGTTGTTCTGCCTGAATGACTGCTCTTATCTTTTAAGGAAAGCTCCCCTGACTTCCTAGGCCAGGGTAGTCTCTCTGAACCCCCTTATATCTCGGTTTGGTGAGGGTAATGGGGCACTTCTTCATTCTCATGGAGACAAAGATTAAAAATTACTCCTTTGTCCAGAAATTTTCCTGAGTAAGGTAGGGGTAAGGAGGGGGAAGCATGCAGTTAACCCAGCTTAAGAAGGGGAGTGCTGAGGTGCCTTGATAAAGGGCCATGCAGCAGCAGCTGGTGGGGAAGTGGGGAGGCATCCTAGTCCAAGGTACACAGTCTGTTTGGCAGGTGGCCACATCTGCTGGGGATGCAGCACATAGCTCCTTCTTCCTAAACAGCAAGAACCCTTGGTTTTGATCTTTTCAGTTTTGGGGAGCTGAAGTCACCTGGAGAGTCTGCCCTCTTATTGCCAAAGTCAGAATCTTAGGAAGGAGCACATGCCTGTCTCTGGCCAGTGAGGCATAGCAGCAGCCTGGGGCTCTGGGAAGGATTCCTCAGTCTGGGAGATACACACATGGGTCAGGGTGTTCTCTTCTGGTCCTGGGAGGCCAGTGAGTGAGGATGTAGTACTGTACAGTGCTGTAGTTGGCTCCACTGCATGTAGTGACCACATGGAGCAAGCCAGAGGACAAAGGCCAACATGCTGGAACACAGCAGACGTGGAAAAAAACGAGTCTTGGGTCATATTGCTGAGTCCAGGAATTGGTCAGGCCTAAAGACAGTCTACCTTAGACTTTCTGGACATGTAGTATAAGATAGAATTTTACCATTGGAGCAGTTTTCAGCAGTATCTTATGTTGCAGTAGTCACTGTATTATCTACCCAAAACTTAGTGCCTTAAAGCAACCAGCATTATCTCACAGCTTCTGTGGGTAAGGAATTTGGGATCAGCTCTTGTGCTAGTTCTGGCTCAGTGTCTCCTGGGAGATTGCAGTTAACATGTAGAGCCAGAGCTGGGGAATCCATTTCCACATTCATGCAGAGCCTCCCTTACTGGGTGGACTTCTGTGAGACGAGCTGAGCATTCTCAGAGAGGGCAGCCGGATTCTCCAGAGCAGGGCATCCAAAGGGAAGGGGAAGCTGTAGCATGTGCTCTGTCATTCCTGCCACATTCCACTCATTGGGAGCAAGCTGCTAAGTCCAGCCTGCACTCAAGGAGAGGGAACTTAAGCTCTACCTTTAGAGGAGAGAAGTATCAATATGTGGCAGTTGTTTTAAGGGCTGAGGGGAGGGCATGCTGTGGACGGGTGCCATCTGGGAGCTGTGGAAGGTGGGCAGGGTGCAGTTTCATCCTCCAGGAAGGGCCTGTGTGGCCCAATTGAGAAACCATCCTGGGCTCTACAGGTGAGTGAGGATTGCTCCCTCTGTAATGGGCTCAGAAACAATCCTCAGGGCTGGGGCTGGTGAGAGTGAGCCCAGAGGCCTAGACTGCACCAGCAGTGGAGAAGGAGAGATTTGGTTCTTAGACGGCACTTGGTGGCAGGTCCCGTTATGAAGGGAGAGTTGTGTCTTCTGGAAAGGTGGTACCAATGGAGAGAGCTCACAGGCCCTGTCAATGTAGGAAGCTCATGGGGCAGAGAATAGTGTTTAGGAGGATACCTTGACGTGTGCCAGCATTGGCACATTCACAGTCACATACAGGTCTGAAACACAGGGCAACAGGCCCACAAGGAGCGTAGACCTGCTACTCCTAGTAGCTGTGTTGGCCTCCTGAAGAGCATGTCTGGTGCTCTGCACCTGTGGGCAACAGTTCACCTGTCCCTCAGCAATGCCTTATGTCTGGGGTTCTCAGGAGGGGCCTGGGCAAGTGGAAGGCAGGTACTGGCTTCATGGGAGCCCCACCTCAGCATGTCCCTGGGCTCATGGGACCAGCTGCCACCATGCAGATCCTGGAGCCAACTGCTCCTCTAAGATGAGAGGTGTCGGGGAGCCTGGTCCACCAGTGTGTCCAAGAGGCAACTCTGGGACAGCAGGCCAGAGGCTCCGCAGTTCCCAGCACTCTGAGGTAATTGAGCAAACATCAACTGTTCCTGCTCAGCAGGTGTCCTGAACGTTCTCTGAGCCTCTATTTCCTCGCTTACAAACCCCATTGTACTGTGAACAGGGTAGTTTCAAGGATTGAAAGAATCTGCGTGTAAAACATTTGGCCTGTCCTAGGCTACAGGGAGTGGTCAGTGCAGCTCATAGTGTTGAGTCTCTGGGATGGTCAGTGACAGTTGTGGCCTTGGGCTGTGAAGGTGGTCAATGAAAGTCATGGTTCTGGGCTTTAGGAGAAGGTCAG